CCAAGAACACAACACAATGTCCCCGGCCAGGGCTCGAACCCGGACCGCTCGATCCGGAGACGAGCGCACTAACCACGAGGCCACCGCGCCTCCCACATGACACATGTTGACGTAAAATCTTCAGAACACTCGAGAGAACTCGTGCTATTCGTTGATTGGAGAATATACATCGGAAACTCCACAAGCGATGCAGCGAAGATTTGTCAAAATTGGTAAATTGTTCACTCGACCCCAACTAAAATTTAAACAACTGTGACAACTTCAGTGCAAACCAGAATTTCCACCTCGCTCTTGGAATTAGCTTTGTCTAAATCAGCTACAGTGTTTGCGCTGCTTCGGCTGCTACTTCTCGGCGTACTGTGCGACAGCAACCGACCAAAGTACGAGAATCTTCGGGTTGACACGTACCGACAGAGAATCCTTCGGAACGCTGCTCGGAAGTGTCGGTTAAGCAGCGTATAGATGATTGGGTTTACCGCTGAATTGGAATAATGCAGCCACTTGACAGCTTTCGCGATCTGAAAGTTCGTCTCCGAGGGGATGCAGGTTTTGCAAGAAACTGTCACCAACATGCTGATGATGTAAGGAGACCAACACGCGAGGAACGCGCCCATTACTATCGCGAGCGTTTTAGCGGCTTTCAAATCAGTGTGGAGTACACGACGCATTTGACGCACAGAACTCTGACTGGTCAAGCGCGGGCGCACTTTGTGAAAAATGAAGCGACTTGCAGTGGAAGAGCTTCGCGGTCTCATACTGTAAGAGGCTCTAGGCTTGGTATTCACAAAGGCCGCTGTTTCCGTCGTATCGCCGTTTTTTTCCACATCAAACTCAGACAACTCGTGACCATAGTTCTCCGCGCGCATTTTCAAGGCCTGGACGTGAGCAACGCGAAATATTCTTGCATAGGAATAGACAAGTACCGGCAGAGGTAGAAAGAAGCTTGCACACGCAACAAAATATGCGTACCAATCTCCCCTTCTCTGAATGTGTAGACCCGCAACAATAAGAGAATACAACCATACCAAGACTATACAGAAACGCGCGCGGTTCTTGGTCAGTTTTAAGTGGTAGTTGAATGGAGATGTGATGGCGTAAAAACGATCCACGCTTATCGCTACCAGGTTCATTATTGACGACGTACCGCTTACAATATCCAAGCAAATCCACAATGTATAAAACTCGTGATTTCGTTTCGGATCAGGCCATTGTTTGATAAGGTAGGTGAACCAAAACGGCATACAAACAAACCCAACCAGGAGGTCCGCAACAGCCAGCGACACGACAAAGTAGTTCGTCACATTCCGTAGTTCTCGGCAGAGATAGAACGCAGCACAAACCAGAATATTTCCAAAAATTGTAAACACAATCAGAAAAGCCAATGGAATCGAATGAAGCGCAACGTTTTCGGATAGGTTCGGGCCAGCTTCGGTTTTTGTCGGCCCCGAAGATGGAACGAGGAGAACATCTGAACTGTTTGTCCCTTGCATATTTTCCTCGCTACGTGGTAAAGTTCAGGCGATTTCTTAGAGCCGATTTTTTTTAGCCGGTTAAATTATGACTCAGCCGTTGAAGACCTTGCCTGAAATTCTACTCGTAATTCTCGACTGTGGCTTATGATCGATTCTCGTTTGTTGACCTTATCTATAATGTTTCAGCTGTACAAACAAAATTTCACGGCAAGTGGGCTCGCCGCTAAAAGGCTCTTCAAGCTTCCTTTCGCTTCGAAAGAAGTGAATTTTGACTAATATAATGGAGACCTTCTTAACTGTTGTCTGCCGCAACCTCTGCAGAAGTTATAAGTAGATTTCAATTTGTTTGCCGCAAATAAACAAACAAACGCCTACTAACTGGGAAAAGTAATTTTGTCAAGAACAGAGCAAAGCACAGCAATTTTCTAGTAACAAATTAATAAATGCTTTAGCGGCTTCTTTGTATACTGACTACAAACGTTGCTGAGGAATAATTGATTCTGACTTTTTCTCTTTGTAGAGGAGTTTAAAAGCGACGAATCTCTGCGCCTCATTCAATCCATGTTGTAAGGTTCTGACGGCCAAGTTGCTATCTGTTATATTTGTTGCTAACACACAAATCTTATCGCCAACCAGCTTTTAAAATCCTTTTTTCTTGCTGCACAAATGTGTTATCTCTTCCCAGCCGAGATATTGATAATGGATGTTGCTTGATTCTTTCCCGTCTTTGATGCCGGCGGACCTGACTTTGAAAATTAGTGATTCCGGTGTCAATCCAATCTTAAGTAATTTAAATGTTGCTTATGCAATCCAGCCACATGAAATTTCCTTTCTCGCTAGTATACAAGGTGAAAAAAACGCTGTTCTCGTTTTCTTGGACAGAGTTGTGTTTCGCGGCAATAAAAAAAAAATGGTACTTGGCAATCATTGCACTCACGTTTACTTCGGTTGAAGAGAAAGCGAATGTCTTTAACCGTTTCCGTGAAAAGAACACTGTAAAATGTCAGATGTCAAAGACCTTAAACGTTCACCTGCCAGGGAAATTCACAGTCACACAAAAACTATTCAAAGGCTTACAGCGGAGAATAAGTAGATTATCAAAAAATTGATATATACATGTAAGTAAATACATCTTTTTCGTGGTAATTGTACACAACCACTCACTTTCTTGATGTTTCACGTCGGATGCAACCTACTTGAAAACATCATCTTTTTTATTAATATTAAAAAACTCAAGCCACTTCATTAAACGCAGCAAATTTGCAAAAGTTTGATTTGCGAAATCGAGCACGTACTTTTGAAGAAAGGGCAACTTTTCAAACGAAATTAATAAATGCGAACTTTGAGGCTAAAATTAACGTGCCAATTTACCGAATATATTAACCTTGCACCAATCACAGAGCATTTTGTAGCCATTAGTTAAATTGAGGGATATGAAAGCTTTACGAAAAGGTGTGAAAATTAGTTTTTGTGAACAAATTTCGTTTTAGATGGCCCGGTAATCCCTTACGAAAAAAGGGGATTTGTGAATTTACATTTCACGTTTGATATTACTTTGGACATGGCATGCTAGTAATAAATTTATTACTTTAACTCGAAATTTCTTCTCTAGTTAAAATTATTTTAATTCCCTTCAAACGATTAAGAATTTGCTCTCAAATAATTTTAACCTGCTCACGCAGGAACAAAATCATTTTTAAGTCTTCAATTTGGAATTGACAAAGACAACTGCTAATTTCCTCGCGGGCAGCGTTTAAAGCAAACATCAAATTGCAAATTTAAGGGTTTCACTCGGGTTGAAAAAAGGAGGAAAATTTAGCACTTAAAAACGCTTTTAAGGTAATAACGGGAAACAAAGACAACTAGGATTAAAGTCGAAATTTAACACTCATACTACTACTAATTTGAACGCAATCGATAAACGGCAAATGGACACGACACCGCCAGTTCTCTAGTTATTCCGTGCGACAAAATCGAAAGATTTAAAGCTGGAAGAACATGCTTAGTCTGACATCTTTCAGCTCAATGTTTGCACTTAAGTAAGCGATAACATTACGCAAAAATTTGCACGATCCTCCAATTCATTTTCTGTTTTCCAAACTTCATTTTGGCAAAAATTTACGTTAATTGTTTGCTCCAAAGTTGTGGAAAGTAGTAAGAACTCCAAACAAAATAACGCTCTCTCTGTAAACATTGCAAGATAATATTTTGGTTTCAAGATGGAGATATGCTTAGAGAAAAGCTCCCAAATTAACTCAATCAGCAAAAGTTGGCGTTTCATATTCGCTCGTAAAACACATCTTTCAAACACAAAGTCTTGAGATTCAAGGTGAAGGACGCTTTTTAATCATTTCCAAAGTATTTTGAAAAGTGTATTTGTTTGCATGTTTTTTCTGCCAAGATAGTCTTTTTTCCATCTCCGCGTGTTCTATTTATTTTTTTATTTCTGGCAGCATGACATGCTTATGCAAACAACTGATTTAAATTAATGAAGTTTTTATAACAACGTCACGGTAATTATGAGTCAACTGACAGGAGATGCGGCAGACGTTTTCTCCAAAACGCAGTTAAACGGATGTGCAATGTCGTGGTATGACTCACGGCACACAGACAGAAGTTTCTCCACGGTTTTAATTTGATCTCTTGATAAATTTTGGCTAGAAAGCAATAAAATCTCCCGAAAACAAGAACATGGCACGGCCTCTAAAAGAATCCACACCGACTGTCAGCAGTTTCTCTTTGATTTGGGCGCGCGCACAGCCTCAAAGAGAAAGCACCGATCACGTACTAACCTCGTTCTCACGAGGAAACTTGGGAACGAGTCTTATCTCGGGCTCTCTCATCTTTTATCCTCGTGCAATCCGACAACATTTTAACTCCGCCTCCCACTCTATGGATGACATCATGGTCTGTGGCTTTAAGCAATGCAGTGGTGGCCACATCAAATGCAAGCAACATGAAATTAAACTTATCTTTAAGCTGGGCACGCTTAGACCAAATGAGTCACATGGATTGAACATTAACTTTAATTTCTTGTGACTGTGTTTCCAGCGCGTATTACACATACATACACGTGCTAAAACAATGGTTTTCATCTGTTGCAGCACGCCTTTGTTCACTTCGTACTTCGTGCGCGCGCTTTCCGTGCGTACTTGCACGTACAGTTCTTTGTATGCGTGACTCGCTCATTTCATCTGAACAAGGGCATAGTGTCACGTATCATCATTTCTACTGATCTCTCATCTTTACCTAGGCAAAGGAGAGAGGGCCTGGGATCAAGGTTGCAGACTGTCAGCTACCGTCCGGTGAGCATCGCTTGCTGACAGAGGGCGAATATTGTTTTTGCTAGAGAGCTGTTGGTTCCAATTCCACGTAAGGCTAAGACCCCGAAACCCTACATTTCACAAAGTGCCGCTCTTACATTCTTACCATTTCATTTTTAACTTGTTGACTGAAAACACTTTACAAATTTGAAACACAAGTTTCCAGCTAAAAGAGTTTATTCATTTTTTCTCGCTACATTCATTTCCAAACTATTTACTTGCAGATTTTTCTTTGTATTCAATTAATCCCTTGTCTATAAGGTCAGGGATCTCTACGGCGAGCCACGGTCCAAGCTGGGGGAGAAAAAAAACATACTGTTACCAGAGAGATTTTCCGCTCAAAAATGCTTCTGAACTTCAAGTTTTTGGTTTTCTATTATAACTAGCACTGAAAATCTCAGGGGGAAGAGGGGGGGGTCACAGCCTGGATGGATTTGCACCCGTTGAACTGACTGCAGTTTAGGAAGTCGAAAGTTTGTGTTTTCACATACTTTTAGCTTGAGAACGTTTTAAATTTTACTACAACTACCGTGACCAATAACAGGAAATTAATAGAATGATGCATGACGTCAAGTTTGTTGCCAAAGAATTTCAGAAGAGGTCAAAAGAACTAGATTTGTGACATTTTGAAGCTTAAGTCAAATTCTCTTGATGTAGTTTTATCTAATCGACAAAACAGA